TTTATTTTATAGATTTGCCTGAAACACTCTGCCACCCTAGGTTGTGAATTTAAGGCAAGAATACCTTTTAAAACTTTTAACAGCTTTCAAATAACTAAGCTTTTATTTTCACTTAAAATATTTGTTTATTTTTTGGTCACAAAGTGTTTGTTGTAGAAATTTGGAATATATTTAAACAATACAAAGAAAGAAAATGTCACCTCTAATCTCTCCAGAGAAATACATTTTGATGTCTATATATCCTTTTCCTGTATATATTATACTTTACAATATTGTAATCATGTTGTACGTAATATTTTATAACCATAGGTAAGCCTTACAGGGTATACTTTTTGTGTGGGGTGTATTTATTATTTATTTATTATTATTTTTAATCCTCACCCGAGGATATTTTTTCCATTGCTTTTCTGGGGGGAGGGGAGGAGAACGAGAAACATCCATGCGGGAGAGGCACATTGATTGCCTTCCACATTTGCCCCAAGCAGGGCTGGAGATCAAGCCTGCAGCCAGTTGTTGCAGAATCAAACGGAGGACCCTGCAGTTCTCGGGCTGACACTCTAACCACTGGGCCAAACCGGCTAGGGTGGGTGTTTTGTTTTTAACATGAGAATTAACACATAACTTAGCTTTTTGTTAGCATCTTCCCTCGGGATGCTTCATTTACATGGTGCACAGAAACTTGGGAAGGAAAAGCCCTGGGTTACCTTTTTCTTAAGATACTTAGTCACTGCTGCATACTTTGTGCCTATTCAGGATGGTCTGGGTTGAGCAGCCCACTGAAAATTCTTCCCTCTAGCAGTGCCTCCTCAGTATGTTAATAGAATAACCTCACATATTACTATTTGAAGTATCTAATTTTTTTGGCAACCGCTGGAGTAATGACTGAAATGAAATGTAATTGAGCTATATTTATATTCCTTTAAAGTAGAATCCGTACAATTAGAGCAAAACTGTTAATACTTCTACTTTATGTTTAGGCAAATTTAGTGAATCTCATAAGATATCAGAACTATCCCAGTGCTGCTCTTCTTGTGATAGATCTTTGTACTTCAGAGTCAGCCACTTAAGTCTGATAGAGATTTCAGAACAGATTAAAAGCTAGTTAATTTTTAGTGATTATATCTTTTTTAGCTTTTAGGATAATAGTATATACTCTTTATAATTTTGTGGTAGAGGGTAAAACATTAAGTCTACCAAACTGATAGAATTACGATACATAGTATGATTTTCTTTTTTTTAAATTGTTGACACTATTACAGATGTCCTCATCCAATCCCCACCCTTGCCCACTTCCACCTAGCCCCCACCCCACTTTCCCTCTGACTTTCTCCACACTATTGTCTGTGTCTATGGGTTATGAATATATGTTCTTTGGGATTACCCTTCACCTTCTTTCATCCATTCTCCCATTCTCCCCTCCCTTCTGACAGCTGTCAGTCTATTCCAAGTATCCATGCTTCTGTTTCTCTTTTGTTCCTTAGTTTATTTTGTTCATTAGATTCTACATATTAGTGAGATCATACCATATTTTTCTTTCTCTGACTGGTTTATTTCACTTATCATAATAATATCCAGGTCCATCCATGCTGTCACATAAAGTAAGATTTCCTTGACTTTTGCTTTTTCCAAGCAAAGTGTTTACTCAACACTTGAAGTGTCTAATCCAGTGATAAACTTTATCTTCTGGCTTCCCTTCCTCCAGAGATTTCCTAGACTGACCCCTCCTTTCATTTCCTTTCCTTAGTGCACTTACCTAAGGTCTCTAACCCTTTGCACCTTGAATNCCTTTGCCCACCTCCACCCAGCCCCTGCCCCCTCTTCGTCTGGCTATCACCACACTATTCGCTGTGTCTGTGGGTTATGCATATATGTTCTTTGGCTAACCCCTCACCTTCTTTACATCTAGTCCCCTCTCTCCCTCCTCTCCGACAGCTGTCGGTCTGTTCCATGTATCCGTGCACTATGATTTAGACCCAGGAAAATGGAGTAATTAAACATCTCACCACAGTAATTTAATTGTAATGATGATGGTGGTAATTTTGTTAATTAGAAAATTTTGGTGGTACAGTATTTACATTTACATTGGCATGTGCTGCCTTAGTAAAGATATGCTATACGCCCAAGCTCAAGACTGTGATCTCTTGTTCTGTACAGTACATAGCACATCCTGGATTTTAATACCTCCATAGAACCTCTTGGAGAACCTTGTCTGAATTTTGAGGATCCCCTCTTTATGTCATCAGCTGCCAGGTTGTGCTTAGTCTAATGAAGACATATTTTGTACCTTAGCAGTCTACAGCCCAGGGATGTACTTTGTGCTCACACAGTCCTGTAAGCTCCCTGAGGACAAAGGTTTCATTTGGTCTTCAGAGCCTGCCTCTCAGTGGCTTTTGGAAGAATGAAAGAATGAATAACATTTGTGAAGTTTAACCAGGCAAATTTAGACAGAGGCATACTGGGGGATGTTTTTTGGGAAGTGCTTTTTATGTTTGTTTTAAAAACAGATGCTGGTGTACATTTGTGAGACTAGATAAAGTCAGAAGTAATATTGGAGAAGTTTAGCAATTGGAAAGACCAGGACTGATGTTTCTGTAAGAAGAATTGGAGAGATTGGGGCTGACTCCTAACTATGCCACTTACTGCTCTGTGACCTTGGGAAGTCATTTCACCTTTGAACATCATTCCTCATCTGCTGCTGAGAATGGGTTATGGTCTCTTCCTTATAAGAGTATTGTGAAGATTAAATGAAATAGTGTATGTGAAGCTACCTAACAGCGTCTACAACAGAGCAGGTTCTTGACCGTTGTTAGTTTCTTCCTTCCTGCTCTTTATTTGCTTGTGTTGTTAGGAGTAATTACTTGCTTGACCAACATTACTGCCTTTGTTGTTCCCAAGCTTACGAAAATCCCCCATAGCTTCTTTATTTTATCTTGAACATAAATTATAGATTTTTACAGAACATATTTTTGAGAAACACAGGCTCAGAAGGTAAGTTGCAAGTCACTCTGATTGATTCAAAGGAATTAAAAGTAAACCTAGGACTAAAACACAGGCCTCAGGACTCTCGGATTCTTTCCATTATACTATTGTTGATGCTTTCTGCTTTTATGATGGGTGTGGACATGGAAGATATAGGGCTTGGTTTTTATATTGACTCTTAAATTACAAGTCTTTGGAAAAATATCTTGTAAAATAAAGCTTCAAGTAATTTAGCAGTGTGGGTAAACTCAGTTCATATAATAAGCCATCATGAAAGCTTGATTTTTCTGTAGATTGCCACACCCTTGGGGCAGAGTTGCCTGTAACTGTTTAATAATTTCAGAATAATTGTACTGCTGTCAGGACATTATATGATTTTGAGTGCTAATATCCCTTTGTGTTGTAATTTTAAAGATGGTGAATCTTATATTTTGGTTAATTTCTCCCTTCCCTCCAATTTATCTATTTAAAATTTAATTCTATATTACATAAAATATTAAATTTCAAAGACTAATTTTGATATGGTTTATATTCTAGGAAAATATGCTTCTGGATTTTCTTGGTATTTTTCTACTTTATAGGCATTTACACTGTTTTACTTCTTGTGACTCCTTTCCTTGTCTGTTTTGTAAGAGGCACAAATCAGGCCATTTGGGGGCATCTTTTTGTTACTTCTAAAAGCATTTAAGACAATCTTCTTATCATATAATGAACACTTATGAATGGAGAACAAAGAAAAGAACAACAGTCTAGTAGAAAAAATAGGGCCTTCATATAAAAGGATGGCACATTGGCCCTTAAACATGTGAGACAGAGGTGAAGATTGCACATGCTGGCTCTGGACTGCATGGCTTCAGGGCCTCCCTCTGCCACTTACTAGTTTAAGCAAATTCTTAATACCTCTTTGCCATGGTTTCCTTGTCTCTAAAGTGAGGATTAAATAAATTAATAAATGTAAAATATTTAGAACAGTGCTTGGTATGTAGTGCTCAAGAAATGTTATTTGTTTTATTGCTATTATTGTGATTATTTCTAAAAATGTTGCCCAACTTCACTCAGCATAAGAGGAATTCAAGTTTAAACAAAACTGAGATACCAAGATAATACACTGTGTAGTAAGGGTATAGGTAGACAGATGCTGGTTATTTTATATATTGGTGGTTATTTTATATTTTGGTACTACTTCAGTAGAGGACAGTTTGAAATAGCTATTAAGGGTAAACTAGCTATTGAATTTTGAACTGGCAATTACATTTTTAGGAGTTTATCTTAGAAATTTATGTATAAAAAAGACATGTATATACAATAATATATGGAAACAATAATTGCAGTATTGTTCATGTTAGCAAAGACTAGAAATGACTTAAATGTCTCAGTGGAAACAGGTAAATTGTTATATCAATATAATGGAATGCCCTGTAGTACCATCGAAAAGAAGTGAAGTAGGTCTGCATGTACTAACAGAGAATGATCTGCAAGATGTGCAGTTAAGTAGTGGAGGGTACATATAATGCTCATGTAAGTATACACTATCTCTGGAATGAATTAAAATAACTACTATCAGTGGTTGCCTTTGAGGAGAGGGTCTGGGAGGGAGGATAGAGATACTATGTTCCTATACCCTTTTGTACTATTTGAAACAAAAAATTTTAACATTGATGTATTAGTTTTTACCCTCCCCCAAACCTGTTCCTGCCAATACACACACATATGCAAGTGTGTACACACTTGCATGCACAATTTTCAGAACATTCAAATGTTATTCCAGGAGTCTGGCTGTGCAGTGACAGGGAATAGTATTTAAAGCTTATTAAATATGTAGTGTGATACTTGGGGTATAACTGGAACCTGATCCTTGTTATCCAAATTGGTGCTGATGGGATAAACCTCCCTGGATGGTGGCAACTGAGGCCTTGGCTAATTATGCTCAAGCTCTGAGGGTTGCTTTATAGGTGCTGTCGTAGGTGCTGGAGCCAGAAAAAGACCTTGGTCTTAGGCCTGCCTCTCTTGGCTATTTTTAGAGGTCCGAGAAGAGAGTGAGTAGGAAGAAACTTCAAGAGTTCTGTACCCCATTGGGAAACTGTGGTTGTACTTATCAACTGTTTGGTTCTACTTCAGTTTCCAGAGGTGAGAGCCAGAATAGAAATGCACTTGGCACG